GAGGGAAATAGTTGAACTTTTACATTTGATTTCATTTTATTTTGTTTATACAATTTAACAACTATGATGGTTGTTTGATTGTATCCCATGGAAAATTGTACGTTATCAATTTGCTATAAATTAGAGTCTTGTTATGTTCTTGTGCATGAGATTAGAACGTGGCTAAGAATTGAAGCCAGAGGTTATCCGCATTTTGACTTGTTTACTTTTTTGTAGGTTTATTATATTACATTATGAAACAATATGGCATTCATATTATAAGTCAGGTGTCGGCATTATTACGCAGGGGCGGTTTTGAAATAATGCATTGGTAATTGGTAACAAATTCCCCTATAATCGCCACAGTAGTCACTTTAAGCCAGTCTTAGTTGTATCTAATACTAATAATACCTATTAAACATACATTATGCAAGAGGTAAATCTACCAACTGCAGGCATTTCTTTAGGATTTAAATGTTTTCTAAATAATTCAGATGAGTTGTGGCTTGTGACTTTGTTGCTGTTTTTTTTGTAGGTAATGTTCACACCTGGTGGGTTCCCTGTGACTTCATACCTGTGAGTTACCCATCACATTCCGCTTTTACAGATGCAATTACCGCTCCCTTATGCCTAGGCGCCACTGGAAATTGATGAGTCTTGGGAGGTATCGGGGAAGCATAACCAGCCATGAGGAACCATCGAGATAAAAATTTGTTTATTTCCACATCGCAGATGATTTTCCCAGTGGGACCTATATATAGGCATTACTGATGAATGATGGATTGTACATTTCTACAAGGCTAGTTGTACCTGGTCAATGCCATTCCACGTACTTGTTTCTGAGGACTTACCCTGGTGTCGGAAGGTATGTTTTCATCGGTGGTTTACTGTGATTTATACTCACATAGTTTGGTACAATGGGGGGGGGGGGTAGATGGGCTCGTCGGGCCACTCGAACTCGTTTGAAAGTCCTAAGATCAAGCCTACATTCATTGCATTTGTTGTACGGGACGCAAATGTTATGAGCCCTATGCTCCACTAGGTACCATTGTTTATCCCTTGCTGTATTTAGTCTCACCTCGCCTGATAATCTACTGTTGATGTTAATATATTGTCGATTAACTACCCATATTTAAATCATACCATTCGAATCAATGTAATGTGTGTGGATGCTTGATATTAAACATTATTTTGTATCGGAGTACGACGGGTATGGGTTTAGAATTCAGGGGAGGTAACCTAATGCTTAAACGACATGATAGTGTCGATTTCTTTATTTATTCGCACAAATCTGATTAATCGGTTCAGGAGTCACCCAGAATAATAGATTGCTAATCAAATCAGTGATATTATATATATGCTGCAATATCAGAAAGCATTGAAACCCTGCTAAATAAACACTTCGATTTATTCTTTTCTTAATTTAGCCTATCGTAGTTAATTTCCCAATAACTGCTGGGGCTATGTAAAGGCCCGTTCTCACGATGCGACTTGTAGTAACTACTTGTAGTATCTACATGTAGTATATACATGTAGATTACAAAATCGTATATAAATGAGTTGATACGACTTGTCTTAGCATAATGGCGTCATCAAGCGACGAAGAGACGCTGGCTATTATTGCCCTACATTGGATAAATAAGAACAAAAAGAAAAAGAGAAAACCCAAATCCGCCTGTTTAGACAGTGGATACTGCGTAGACCCACTGCCGGCGCGTACAGTTCCCTATTACGTGAACTTGAAGAAGAAGACCCTCTCAGTTTGAAAAACTTTCTGGGAATGGATGCGGAAAATTTCCATTTTTTGTTGGGCCAATGCAGCCTGCCGCACGTCTCTCTTGGAATAAGTCTTATTACTCACATCCCATAAGCAAGGTTGTGAGAGGTAATAATTGACAAAATTCTCTGTCTCAGCTTTGCTGAGCGGCTGTTGATGGGTGCGTTTCGCGTCCATGTTTACAAACAACAAAGGGAGAGAACTCGTGTTTGTACTAATACTCGACGTCTCTGATTGGTCAATTTCATACGATCTGTTGACTGAAATAGGGAAGTTTCTATTTCGCTCAACTTGCTTTCAACTGGTTGGGAGCTTGTAAAAGTTGGTACGACTAGGGTGTTCTCACGCTGCATCTCGGGTCGATACTACAAGTAGTTACTACAAGTCGCACCGTGAGAATGGGCCTTAAATGTTCTCAATATTTATCTAACACATGACTTTCATTCTGATTCCTGATACCACTTATGGGGGGATGCAATTACGAGATAAACACCGACTGTTTAGAATTTTCTAGCTTTGGTTCAGCCTTAACCCGTTTTACTTATTGATACATATCTAGAATTTCTCCTTTAATAGTTGTTCGGATGGTACGAAAATAAGAGGTCCAGTGTACACATTGTCGTGCACGTAAAAGAACCCTTGACAGGTGGCCTTTGTACCACTGCCCGGGCAATATTTCCCTCATGGCGTATGCCCGTCTTCATTAGCCCAGTCTTGACAGAACTGTAGAACGTGCCGCTGTCTGGGCAAAATTTCCTCCGGGTGGGGGGGGGTATGCCCGCGGTCTTCATTGGTCCAGTCGGCACGGAAAGGTAAAAAGTTAACCCCCATTTCATTTCTCCTTTAAATCCAGTAGTGTATTGAAAATAAAACAAAATATGTACAAGCAATAACAATAACGACAATATTTATTTTTATTGCACATCAATACAAACAGAACGAAATGATACAGTCTGGAGAAATCATCATTTAATTTCCCTATAAATATCCATAAAAAATATCATAAACCAGTTGAATCCTGGCTAAACACTGAGTACTGCAAGTTACAGAAGAGTAGGAGATATAGATTTACAGTTGTTCGGATCATAAATAGATTAACAGATGCCCTGCTACATTGAATTCTGTTGGAAATGAAAATGAAATAGGGTTTAACGTCCTACTGTTTTGCTCCGAACTGGGCTAATGAAGACGGGTATACGCCATGCAGTGTTATATGAGGGAATTTTTGCCCAAACAGCGGCACTATGGCCTACTCTTACATCGAATTCCAACTGTCAAGGGATCTTTTACGTGCACGCCAATGTGTACACAGGACCTCGGTTTTTCGTCCCACGCCGGAAAATCTGGATGGACTTTCTCGGCCAATGCAGGGATGGAACACCCAACCTCCAGGCTAGCGAGCCAGCGTCTTACCCACTTAGCCACATTGACTCCCGGCATAAAACGGCGGGACATGATAATAGATTTTTTTTCTGTTCTGTGATTTATTTTAATCCAAAACATTTTTTTATATGGAGTAGCCGCCTTAAATGTCATCTTTTCTCTTTAAAAGCTAATTAAACTTTTTTTTAACAGTCCATCAATCTAATTATCCCATGCAACATTTAGCTTGTTTAAATCTTTTTCCCCACATTCTTTCGTCACATTGCTTTAAAGATAATGGCTTTTTGTGACTATGATTGATATTACATGGTCTAGAATTTGTAAATGTTCCGGCGATAACACTGGATAAACCAATAACTCAATTTTTGCATGTATAGAACAACGCGATCTTTATATAATGTTTAAAAATGATGAATCTTCACACGAAAAGAACAGTGCGACCGTTATCTAATGCTTAAAAATGGACATTGTCGCAAAATAACAATATGTAACAATACATTTAATAAATAAAAATTTACATTTATATATATATATATATATTTATATATTTTTAAATAATTTAATCAATTATCGTCCTGTTTCCCAAATATGTTAATATTAATCTTCGTCTAGTATAAATAGATTTATAATCCGATATGAATAACACACATTCTCATTAGTACAAATAACAAATTGTCTTTGAAAACAATTCAAAATTCATTTTCCGGTTATATCTTAAAGTTGCATTACACGTATCATTCCGGACAATCCTGATAGTGTGGTACAGTCTAAAAAATTAGAGCCAACTGCAGAATTCGTCAAAGTCGCGAGATCTAAACAGGGCTAGGGCGCGTGATTGTCGACGACATTGTGCGTTAGGGCTAGAGTTAGGGCTAGCCCTGTTTAGATTCCGTGAATTTTCACCAAATGTCCCTTAATTTTCAGACCAAACCGAGTATATCACATAAACAGTATATAGATAATCCCGATATTGCACATAAACAGTACTATAATATAGTTTGGGTTAACAGAAATAAAAGATGGTCTGGATTCAATATTTTATTATAACATATACAATAGTATCAAAATACTAAACATATGAGAAATCCCTCTCTGGTGAGCAACCAAAGCCCGTCTGATTTCTATCATTCGTTCGTTCCTAGAGTTATACGTCCACTTCCACCTCGATTTGTATCAAAAACCTAAGCCAATTTATGGTAAATTCAGTTGATGATATAAAGGTAATTAAGTATAATTGTACACACGTTAATGATATTTAATAAAAGAACTTATGTATAAAATGTATAAATACTACATCATGAAATCAGCTTTCATTGATGGATTATTTCACTATAATCATAGGCTACAGAACAGTCGATGTGTGCCAACCGAACCTTAGTAAACGTAAGTAGCGATCCGCGGATTATCTAACTTGACCATTATACATATGGCAGCAACTGGACTATTGTTAAATGAAACAATAATATGGTCAGCGGAGGGTTTATTACAGATATTGTCATGCGATGATTATGGTCTTTTACATATCAAGGTGTCTCACACTGTGTAACAGTACACACAGGTCAGGGAAAAAGGAGAGAGAGAGAGGAAGAGATGGGTTTTAACGTCCACTCGACACAAACTAGGTCATTTCGGGACTAACATATGGTTCAGGTTTATTTCATTAACTCGCTAGCGAGTAGGGGTCTTTAGCAGTGGGAGGAAACTGGACGACCAGGAGAAAACCCACGAGGTTGGACAGGCGACTATATTCCTTGTCACGTACAACCGGGGAATTGAAACCACGTTAGTTGACTCAATGACAGAACTTACGATACAGCGCGCACACGCTAACCATCCGGCCATCCAACCCCCCTTCAAGTGTAGCTAGTACATCGTTCCGGGTTTCATAAATCTCATTTGTATCTATTTATTTGTTACCTGTATTCGTACCGCAGAGACCCCCATCTGATCCCCGATGCCCTACTCTGGCTACGCAGGGATAAAATTAGATAAATTATGATTTGTAAGGTATTCTATGGTCTTAATAGCCTTGCACAGGTGGGTGGGGTGGGGACAAACTTTGTCTACTCCGGCACATACAAATTCTCTCGGCGCCCCTGAGTACACATTCAAAAAATAACAACGAACCTTTTCCAGGTCTATAATTAACGTAAATATACACAAAAAAATGTATATGTCAGGGTCATCATTATCCTCATTAAAAAAACAACCACTTTAACATAAATTAATGTAAATATATATGTCCAAAACAAAGAGAAACCGAATCCTCGAGTGTTATAACACATTCACTAGACATACTTATCCTCTTTAAAGAGCAAAACAGTCACTTCAACATAATTATTTACAGAGACTTTCAACCATCAGCCCCAAACGATGTCAGCAAACAAATAGCGTATGTCTTAATTAAATCGTAACCGTTTACACACGGGTGAGAAAAGGACCATCCGCCCACAACAGCCATATGAAATACTGTCTAGCCAAATGGTATATTTTCATTGTATATATCGATTCTGTACACGTGATATTAGGGCTATAATCACAATGTTATTTATTCAAAACACATATATCTATGTCACTAACAATAGCGTTTTATTTACATCTTTCTTCCAATAGATTCATTATTTCAAATTCATCATGTTTCTCATGGTAAAACACGATTCAAATATACATGTATATATATATATGTATGTATAAATATATATTTATTCAAAGCCATAACACTTAAACGGCCACGTCAATAACATTCAATATTCTCCTTTTTATGCGAAAATCATTGGAATGCATATTATTTAAGATGGCAAATAAGAAAATATCCTACCATGTCCGGAACATTCACAAACACGTATAAATAATCCACAATGAGAACCATCTGATTCTACATGTATCTTGTACAGATGTTCTTATGTTCTTGACTGAAATGTTCTTAATTCCAAAGCAATGTTCTTAAATTCCAAAGAAATCTCCCTATTGGTGTCTTCATATGTTTTAAAATATTATTCCCGGGTAACAAAATGATGTCCAGTGTAGAAAAACGATTCTTGCTGGTCTACAACAGAAGGCATCGGGTTAACTCTTCGTCTACGGAGAAGCTTTATGTTTTTTCTATTCATCTCGAGAGCTTTAACGTTTCTGATCTTAGGAAATTTGGTACAACAATACTCATATCCCCTTACTTTCTGTCTGGTACATAGACTCGTCTCATATCCTTTAACTTCAGACATCTTCTCTTAAATCACATAGAATCATCACGAATCCGCTGCTTTATCGGATGCATTCTGTACACACTGGGGGTTGATGTTGTATCATCCAAACTATCCATCTGAGTCTGCATTAACGAGCCGTTTCGATCATACTTCTCTGAAGCGCTACTCAGGCGAGTGGAATAAAACGCCCTCTCGTGACCAACAAGTCGTCCACTCTGGCGACAGGGTGTACAGCGGAAAAATCGTACAAAACCTTGACGGAATCTGAAAGTAGCCAAATTGTGGATTGAATGTAACTTTCTGCTTTTGGTTTTATCAAGAATAACAAACATGCTGAATACGGGTATACAGGTACAGGATATCAAGTGGTGTGGTATTGCTTAACCCTGCATGTGGTATTTGGCCTACTCAACTGAACAGTTTACAGGTAATGATTTGTATATGATTGTAAACGAGCTGAATAGAGAACTTTTTGACCAACAATACGTCTGCCTTGTCGATATGCAGAACAGCTGAAAAAATTGATGAAGCCTTGGCGGAATCTGAAATTATGCAAAGGACTCGGGTGAACTTAGAATTTTTTTATCATTAGTATATATTAAAGTAATGGGAAAAGAAAAGACGTCATTATTTAATAAATGTTAGAAGGGTCATTCTATAGCGATGTTGTCAGTGATGGATTATTTTGATCGGTGTTCTAAAGTGGTTAGGACAGAGTGTGCGTCTCTTATTTGCAGTGCAATAGCTTTACAACACAAGGATAAGACTTTACATATTGTCACCCACATTCATATGTTCAGATGGTTAATGATATCTGTTAAATGGGTTTTAAGGTAATAACTTTAAGGATAACGTCACAGGACACCATAAACACTTTTCACAATAAAAAAAGTTTTCTTTCCCCTTTAACCATCTAGCAAGGGAACATATCACAGAGAAGGGAACATCAATGGGTACATTTACAGCACCAGGATGATGAACGGATATGAACAATCACAGACAAGATGGGTAACTACAGATATATCAGTAATTATATAGCATACCTGGCATTCATCCAACAATATATTATGGGATTATACATAGAGTTACTCATGGCCAACCAAAATATGAGGATGAAAATCTGTTGGATGTTCTTGCTGTGGACGATGGACGGGAAGATATTGACCAGTATAAAATACAGATGCATCGGCAACCAACAAACGGCGAATATTATAACCACCACTATCATCATCTTCACTACCTAAAATCAGAAACAGGTACAATATGTATTGCATTCACAGTTACTAGATCCTGTGTCTTAATTTTGTATCAGGGACAACGTATATATAGTCGTTCGGATGGTATGAAAACCCGAGATCCCGTGTACATATTAGCGTGCACGTACATGAACCCTTGGCAGTTTGAACTCGATATATGAGTAGAACAGTAGGACATAAACCACATTTTATTCGATTCTTAATTTTGTATCGCAATCATTTAAACCCCTCAATTTATCCTGACGTCACTTATGTTTTAGCTATATCATTCGTTGTTTATCAAACGAAAGGGTTGGCTACTGTGCTAGTGTGTGGTATTGAATTCCAACTGTCAAGGGGTCTTTTACGTGCACACCAATATGTACACAGGACCTCGGTTTTTCGTCCCATCCGAACGACTATACGTTGTCCTTCACCACGCCGGAAAATTCCCGATGAACTTTCTCGGCCAAAGCAGGGATCGACCGAGGGACCTCCACTGAGCCATCATGGATCCTTTGTGCATATCATATATCACTGTTATGAATGCAACAAAAGTTTGGGCTTTGAAGTTGCTGGAATTTGGCGGATTTAATGTGGTATATTTTTTTTTAAAAAATTATGGATATAATGCGTGTTGGACAGGACTTAATGAAGTTAAAGAAATTGGGGTGTGTTTGGTTTTTTTTTACTTGCTCATAAAACTTTAAAATAAGCCAGATGAAATCTCAAGTAATTTTTTGTTAATTTGTTAATATTTTTAAATGAATAGGGAATGTAACTATATACATAGTATATCAATGTGGGTTAAACTTAGAACTTTTGTTAATTAACTTGCAAGGTTTCTTTAAGACTTTCCTGGTTTCCACGAATCCGTTTAAAGCCGATTTCGCACCATTCTATTTCAATCGATTAGATTTTAATGATTTCCTTCGTCATCTTTACACTCTAACAGAAAGATATTATTACACCATTAACACCGTAGACTAATGCTAGGTTCCCACTACCACGATTCGCGCTACGATTGAAATCGTGGTTTTAATCATGGAGTAATGTTGGTGATCCTATCAGGTCTTATCATATACTCTTCAAAACAAAGTAGGGGAGACTGAAATTCAAATACTTATGCAGGTTGTGATATGATAAACAGTCATGGGCACTTGACATGCTTTGAGAGTATGTGCACAGATGAAGAACTTATCGCCCCAAGAGAACCCCTGATTTGCACATGCGACACGCAATAGCACCATACAGGTGGGAGGGGTTCATTGTCAAATTTGACACTTCAAGGAAGGGTTGATGAAAACTGCCACTTGCTGGTTTATCCTATCCATGTTTGCTCTCCTATCGGTTATTGCATAAGATTTACTGTTTAGCGTATCTTTGCTTTAGTGTGTTACGTTTAATTTGATCGGGAGACGTGTTTGTCGACGGCAACGGCAACCGACAACACTGCAAGAATTGGCCCTGGACGGTTAATTAGAACCATGCAACGACGAATTGGTGAATGTCTGAGGATTGGTGGAGCAATTACTCATTATTAAGACTAAAATCAAAAACTTCCATTTTCACTTTTGACAGTGTATCTCTTTGCGAGTGAAATGCGGCCGTCAGATAAGCCGCCCATATGAACTGCTTATGTTCATGTGTAGGCAATTGGTCTGTTATTAACATACACCGGTTACCTCTAATAAAAACAGCAGTGCCTTTCCGCAGTTTTGTATTGTTTCTGAATATCCCGTACATTTTTTAAAAGTATATATTGAGAGCAGTCGTGTCAATCGTGTTGATCGTATCGAAACGTATCTTCACGTACCAGATCTTGGGGCAATCCAATCGTAACGCATCGCACGACAGTGCGAACCTAGCATAACATTGGTGTTTTCATTGGCTGTACGCGACGCAACGAATGCAATACATATTCTGGTAAAATTAAACTATACAAACATGGAATATAAAAGGAACGAAACGTTGTATTTGTACAAACATAACCAACCTTTCTTTTACTTTTGACTCTTTCAGCTTGCATTGGTACAGTTTCACCAATAACTTGACTTCCCCATAGTTCCCATCCGATCCTAGCATACGTGCCAGCTAGCGTCAACATGGGCAAGAAATAGTTGAAGATGATCAGAAGTATGTTATATCTGAAATGTATGAAATTGTAATAACCTTTACTAAAGATACATTATGAAAGGGGATCCATGGTGGCTAAGTGAGTAAGACGTTGGTTCGCTAACCTGGGGGTCCGTGTTCGATCCCGGTATTGGACGAAAAAGTTCGTCTCGATTTTCCGTCGTGGATATCCCACTTGTAAATTATGAGTGATGGAGGACCTGCCACGGCACAACGTATAGTCATTCGGAACCTAAAACCGAGTCCTGTGTAGGTAAAAGAGCCCTTGACAGTTGGAATTTGATATAAGAGTAGGCCGTAGCGTCGCAGTTTTGTCCTACCCCCCCCCCCCCCATAGCACACTGCATGGCGTATGTCCGTCTTCATTAGCCTAGTCGGAGCATTATGTAAAATTTAAATAAAGAGCTGACCGTTTTTGCTATAAAAGTTCAAAATAGCTAATAATGAAGCAAGCATATATACAATAAGAAACATCGCTCGATGACCGTGACTGCTATATATGTATTGGTTAATCTGATGTAGCATTAAATAAAATAAAATAAAAGTAGTCCGTTTTAGTAATGAGGTTATTTTTTGATAGCGACATATTTCTTTGGACAAACGAAAGAGGACTTTATCTCTTCTAAATCATGTAATCATGAATGTGCCAGTAAAATAGCTAATACTCAAAGAGTGATAGACAAATACTTTCCGGTGAAGCCTTACACGACAACAGGAATTTGACTTTTAAATACCGCCCCCCCCCACCCAATAATTAGTTCAGACGATTCAAATTATATCTGCTTTAACAAGGTACGTAAATATGAATATATCAGAATTTTTTTTACAATTTTGAAAATGTATTTGGATCTATTTAATGATTTCGTGATATGGCCCGTATTTTGACGTTAACTACCTCCACTCACTACTCATTTAATATATGTTAGTGCCATCCAATTTTTTTTTAAGGTATGTAAATACAAATGTGCCAGAAAATAATTACATTTTGTAGCAAGAAATAAACATGCTTTCCAGCAGTATATGAATAGATATCGAGAATTTCTTATTAAGATCGTTTTTTGGACTTTGAATACTGCCCATCCCCTCATTTAATAAAGTCTAGTGAAACTGATCTTTTATCAAGGTATGTAAATATAAACGTGCCAGAAAATAATTTGAAATATTTCACGGTACTAAACTCTATTAGGTGATGGGGAGGGGGTTGGTGTAGTCTGAAATGTCAAAATACGGACCATACTACGACATTCCAGATATCACACAGAATATCAATGAAAAGAAATTCCATTTCATTAGATTCTGGCACATTTAAATTTGCATAGCTCAAAAAGGCTATTACAGTTGGATGACGCTAAATACTATTAAGTTAGTACCAGGGGTGGGGGTATTTAAAAGTTAAAATACGGGTTATCGTGTAATGCATGACCGGAAAGTATTTTTTTATCCCTCTTTCAATGTGTTACTTTTTCCCTGGAGCGTTCATGATTACGTGATTTAGAAGAGATAAAGTCCCCATTCGTTTGAGGAAAGAAATATGTCGCTATCAGACAAAACTTAATTTCTGAAAATAGACTACTTTCAATTTCGACCGGATTAGCCATACTATGCCTGTGGTTTTACTAGAGTAGCGGACATTATTGTATGGTGACATATTATAAGCCAGGTTGATTTACACTCATGTCGTCATAATGTTCCGGTTCCATGAATTTCGAGAAATGTTTTTGGAGAAATGTTTTTGGAGAAATGTTTTGCAAGATTTGTATTTGGAGATTTGTATTTGTTGTTCGAGATTTCTTTTTCGTTGTATTTTTCCGATGAGATGTAAATATAGGCTAATATTTTGATTTTCTAAAATAAATGTTATCTTTATATTAAAATACAATTAAGTTAAACAAAAATACAGTCGGATTTGTAAAACAAATATAGATTTTAAGTTACAGATGTTAATTTTGGTGTACAAATGCCGAAATACGACAACAAATGAAAAAATAAGAATAAAGGAATATGAATGAAGAACTAAGAACACTGAATAAAGAGCTGTTTGGTCTTCCATATAGTTTTGAAAACTATTGTATATATATTATGTCACAGCAAGAGAAATATGGATCTGCCATAAACATAATGGATATTGCGTAGTCTCTGTATTTCGGTAGTACCGCACCGCTACCCCACACCCAAGGTGGACTATATGATGAAGGTTTGAAAACTATTGTATATTGTATACATGCATTATGTTACAAATAGATGTGTCATATAACTATTAATGGATGTCATAGTTTCTTTGTCCTCGGGTGGACTATTCGAAGTCTTGAAAACTATTGTATATGCGATGTTACAGCAAAGGAAAAAAGAATTGATCTATGTATTTGAAGGCGCTAGTCTATATTAAACATTTGATCTCGATCAATAAAATCCCAATCAAGACGGAATCGGTGTAATATGACATATTTGAACTACCATAACCTTGGAATTCCTAATTATAATCAATTCGTGTTATCGCTAATTTTTTTACTCATTTATTGACATTTTTACTGTTATATTTGCCCAATAGTCGGCGGTTTGTTTGTACATCATGATTTGGTATATAGTGGGGTTTATTAAGAAACCAGTTAAGAAAGGAAATAAAAGAGAGGTCTTTAAATGGAAATCATCAACTTTGAACTCTATTTGTCTACTGATTTGTCGCATTCCTGAAGTAATGGCCGCAATGTCATTATACACTTCTATACGTTCACACATTTAGAGCTCTTGTGAATCCCGACTGATTTGTTACGCTGTGAGGGAGCAGATGTTAACAAGATTGTTGACAAGTCAAAAGTTAGGACGAGAATCACCAGCCAGTCCAGCAGTTTTAAGTGGGATTAGAAATAATCTAACGAAACACTGCGGGGGACACACTCACGGAAACTACTAAAATTAACTGAAGCGGGGTAAAGCTGTGTTCTATCCAACTGAGTCGATTTTTTAAAGCGCGGTTCCCATTTAGAGCCCGTCGGACGGACAAATGAAATGAAGTTTTATGGCCAGCTTACGCGGTGGCTCAGTGCGTACGACGTTGGCGCGTTAGGTTGGAGGTCCTGTGTTCGATCCCGATCGTGAAAGTTCATCGGGATTTCGGGTGTGGTCCCCCTTTGTCAGTGGTGCAGGAATGAAAGCCGTGACAGTTGGAATTCGATATACGAGTAGGCCGTAGTATTGCTGTCCGGGCAAACTTTTCCTCATAGCACACTATATGGCGCATGCCCGTCTTCAGTAGCGCAGTCTGAACAGAACAGTAGCACGTTAAACCATATTGCATTTCTGTTGTCGACAATATAAGAAAGATGAAGACTTTTCCTTGGCATTTACACAATTACACAAAACAAACCTACTGACGTGGCACAATATACATGTACACACGCGCTTCACACAATAAACGGATATATCAAATCTAGAGAAAGAATCCGGGAGGTAAGATTTAAATTAAATTTGTTTGAGCTTCTCAATCTGTTAAATCATTGACAAAAAAACCCGCTTATGTCATACTTATTGGCCATTATCACGACCCAGTTTGCAAAGCGTGTGAACACCATAACATTTATTAGACTAAGTAAGTATTGAATTTGAGGTACTCAATCTGATAAAAATATAAAGCACTTTAAATATACTGTTCGTTTATTAGAGGTGTTATGTCAGCATCTAAGTACGTGATATTTTTATATGTCAATGGTTCAAGAAATGGCTAGAATTGATGATTAAAACAGAATTCTACACTAGGTCTGAAAGAGTGTTAACAGACTTCACAGCATTTTTTGATTGATGTTCCGGGTTTGTGTAACGGACATTAGCCCAATCTTTTCAGATAAGTGGGTTGTGCATCCAACGAACACACATGTTCCTAGACTGGTCTGCAATTCCCGAACTTATAGCTACGTTATCTCCCTTTACCACAGACAGTGAACAATAGCGATGTCCAATCAGAGGCCGTGACACGAACAGACTGGAATCAAACATGGCGACCTCCACGGAAACCTTGACCTTGAACGAACTTTGAACTTTTCAACTCGATTATCACAGATAGACATTTTAGTTGGAATGCGCGAGACTTAATTTCTATCGAGGAATCAGAGAGGTCACAAGCTGTCAGTAGCCAATCGAAATTAGTGACGAAATATGCAGGGTATTACATGAAGACGGGGGACAGACGGATTTCAGGTTTTGTTGAGGAACAACGGTCAGCGAGTTAGATTTGTCACCACCTGTCGTGTGCGTTACGGTGTCGCTCTAGCTGTGTGGCGATTCCAAGTTTTCCAATCTACTGGGCCAATTTCGTGGGTTTCCTCACGTTCCTCCGTTTTAGTCCCACTGCTGAAGAACCCTACCCACGAGCGAATTATTGAAATAAAATAGCATCATATGTTAGTCCCGAAATGTTATAGTCTGTGTCGAGTGGACGTTAAACACACACACACACACACACACACTCTCTCTCTCTCTCTCTCTCTCTCTCTCTGTAACTGGGTATTGGCAGAAGAAGGTAAATTTTAGCATGCAAATTTTATATATCAGGACAGAAAAATAACACCTGAATTAACATCACATTAGTTAACGTCAGGGGACCGAGAGTAATCAAATTAAGTCAGAGAGCAACATCCATAGCCGACGAAAAGACTCTAAAAGTACATTTTGTAGCATGAAAATTACGTATAGCGCCAAGAAATGCAACCTACCTAAAAACAGCATATTATTTTGCGTTGGAAAACCGGCGGTAATAAAATCTAACTCATAGAGCGACAACCTTAGTGGGCGAAAGACACTAAAAGTATGCATTATATGTGCGTGACATTTTTTGTATAAGGCAGAGCAATGACACCTAAAAATTATAATGCGTCTGAGAGGCCCGGGGTAATGAAATGTACGCCACAGAGTGATGAAAGACGGTAAAGTACATTATTTGTACTATTGTTGAGAGAACACGTAATTTGTAAATAGAACAAAACAACGTAGAGTATTAAACTATTTGATGCCCCAATAA